CTGATCATGTCACTCTGCATAAGAATCTTCAGTACAAACTCCAGCTTGGCGTTTTGAGCACTTAGGTGCTCAGGAATTTGTGTCAATTGGGAGCAAAGAAATACTAGGAAGCTTGGTCTCCCCCTTCTCACCAGGTGATAGGAGTCTCAAAAGCTGATAGTTCAGGCATCTTGAAATCTGTCTTGCTCTGGAGATGGCACTGTGGATAGAGGGCTGGATCTGGAGTCAGGAAAATGAGTTCATAATCCTCCTTCAATACTTAGTAGCTTTATGACCCTGGAAAAGTCATTTGACATCTCTAAGCCTCAGTTTCCTCATCTGTAAAACAAGGACCATAATAACACCTATCACACAAGGTTGTTGAGAGGATAAAGCAAGATAGCATATGTACCTGGTATGGACACTTTGCAAACTTTAAAGATGTATATAAATGTTAGTTATTTAGACCCAGTAGCATTGACTCCCATTAGGTAGGTAACTTACATCTCTGTTACAGGTCTGTATTTCAACTCTGGCTGGTCTTGATAAAAGCTGACATCAGACAGAGGCTTTGGCAACTGCTGTTAAACAGCTATGCTGAAAGGGTCAGTCTGGGTGTTGACCTGGGTGGCTAACTTGGCCAACATGCAGCTCAGCATCTCCTCTCCTTTTCCTACTTTTCTCCTACATCCCAATCTCATAGCAGGAAATCTCTTGATGGGCAAAGGAAGAAGAAATTAAAGTATGTACAAATGTATATATTCAGATATCATTTTTCTATCTTACCTGTTGTTCTACTGATTTATTTCCTTCAATCAAGACTCCTGGGTGGACATGCAGCTATTAGGAACACGCTATGTTGGGTAGTCAAAAGGAAGCCACTAAATATGCACGAGGAAAAAGATTAAATTAAGGAGAGAGTAGAGGTGGGAAGATGTGTTAGCATTCATTTGGTCAAACTGGTTCTCATTTTGTGAACACAGCTAAGCACCATGTGACTCAGTTTCTGAGCCCAAACTAGAAGTTTCATTTCTTAGCCCTTATCTTCAAATCAAGCTTTGTGGACAAATGGGTCTCAGAAAATAATGCCTAGAAAGTAAATCCACAAAAGGGCAAAGATTGGAATGCCAGATTCACTGTGTTCCAGTTCAATTCAACAAACACCCGTTAAGTGCTATGTGGAGAGTTTATCTTGGAAGAGCTACAAAGTTTAAATAAGAAACTCTTTCCTGGTGGGAGTACAAAGTCTGAGAGTAGTAATACATATGGTCCTGAAGGGAACCCATGGATTTGGGATCAGAGGATCAGGGTTCAAATCTCAGCTCTGCCACTTATTAGCTGTGTCTTTGGGCAAAACTTCTCTGGGCCAAACTTGGCCAAGAGTTAACAATAGCTTCAGTTTCTTCCAGTGAGTTGAAAGTCTTTTCTCCAGTGTGTTATATCCTGTCAAGTATGAGTGTCTACATAATGACTTTCAGTTCAGTTGGTTGGTTAGATGATAACTAAGACTTTCCTAGGGGCAGAACTCCATGCTGATACCTGGACAGTCTTACATGGAACCAGGATGGGATGAATGTGGCACAGAATCATAATTTTCAGACTAAAGGAGCCTTAGAAATCTTCAAATCCAAACCAATTTTACAGAATTAGAAAAAGAGGCTTATGGAGAGGTAGGGGCTTGCTAAAGGTCACACAAGTACATACCAGAGCCAGGGACAGTACACAGATCTCTTTAATTCCCCAAACTACATGTATCTCTAGAACAAACAGGCACTCTTCCAGATGTCCCTTAAAGGGGGTAGCTTTTTCCTTTCTGTAAATGACAGGCATTCCCCCTGCCCCACCCCCAGTCATTTCATCTATTATGTTACTTATCCAAGTACATTGTGCCCTAATGACCTGGCAGCAAATAAATAAATAAATAAATGAACAAACAAACAAATAAATAAATAAAGGGTACCAGTTGGAGGTACCCTTCTCAATAAGATGCAAACCTTTGTGACTATACAAGCTGCTTCCTTGCCTGTGATAATTGCTTTGAAATTTGCTGGGGATGAGTGAGATGGGAATCTATGTTAAATGACATATAAATACTCTAGACCACCATCTTGGTTCCAGGTTGGCCCCAGCCCTTGTGAAGAGATCCATCCCTGCCACTATGCATACCAACTGTCAGTGTAGGGCAGGCAAACCTGAGAATCCCAGGATTAGCAGTGTTCCCTGCCCCTACCCTTGACTATAGGTCCAGCTTTCAACTTAACTCTTCCATCAGGTGAACCACCTCTGAGACCTAGCAACTGCCTCTACATGTACTGCAGCCCCCAACTCCTCAGCAGTTTTGACTACTGAAGACCCAGAAAATAAAGTTCTCACAGTCCTTGGAAATGTCAAGTAGCTCAAGGTTGGAAATGGGTATTGTTTTATCAATGGAAATGACACTAAAGAGGATGCATTATTACCACGTGCTTTACTATTGCATCCTAAGAACCATTATGTCTTTCCATCAGACTTGCAGTCGATATCTTCACCTATTAGAAGCACCTATTGCACCTTGAGAACAGGGCCTGCCCTGCTTTTCCATCTGCATCCCCAGCACTTGGCACAATGCTTTGCATATTTTAAGTTGTCATTGGATTGGCAAAGTGAGATCATAAGATCTTAGAATTCATCTTGTCCAATCCCTCATTTTACAGGCTTCCAGTTCTACCTCTATTTCCAAAGTATTTGGCCTTGGGCAAATCAACTTCTGTGGGTCTGTTTCCTCTTCTATAAAATGAGAAGATCGGATTAGAAAATCTCAAAAGTTCCTTTCAGCTCTAAACCTTACGATCTATGAGCCTCTGAAACTAAAACTTAGGGAGGTGAAATGATTCACATAACCATAGTTGCTATAAATCACGACGTGTGGGCCTCCTCTGGTGACTGCCAGGAAAAGGAAGGTTGTTAGACTGCTAAGTAACTTCTGATCAGCCCTATAGATTAGAAATCATCTTGGAGAAAGGAGGTAGGGAAGGGAGTTAGTCTTTTACCAGAAAGTGACTCTCATTAGACCAATAAAGAGGAAGTATGGCGTAGAGCACTCGTCTTGGAGCCAGAAGATTTGAGTTTGAGTTCTGGCTCTGCCACTTACTAGCTGTGGGACTTGGGGCCTCTTTGGTACCCATTTCCTCATTTATAAAATTGAGGTGGTGATAGCTGTACTTATCTCATAAGATTGTTGTGAGCTAGTGTTCTGTGTTCCTAACAACTCAAGTGACCTTCCTAAAAACTCCAGTCAGGGTTTGGATGTGTTGGAAGTAAGTGGGATCTAGGTTTTAGATACAAAGTGCAAAACAAATAGAGAAAGGACTCCATCTCTGATCTGATGCAATGTTATTTTTCATTTACACTATTTTATCTGTGATACAGCAGATTATTAGCAAGTCCATTAAATTCAGAAATAGGACTTTAGAACATCAGTACTCACCTAGCCCTACCTTTCCCTAAACAAGAATCCTCTGCACAATATTCTTGACATGGTCATCCATCCTTTGCTTGATGAGCTTTAGTCACAAGGACCTCATTTCCTCCCAAGGGGGCTCATTTCATTTTTGAACAGTTTGAGTACAGTGAGCTGAAGACTGTCTCTGTAATTTCCACCCACTTGTCTTAGTTCTGCCCTTTAGAGTCAAGCAGAACAAGTCTAAATTCTATCAAGAAGATTTCTTCACACACACCTCTCCCATCTGTTAGTGCATGGCTCTCTCCCCTATTTTATGCCCCTCAGTGTGCCACCTGTCTCTCTCTCTCCCCCTCCCCCATCGAGGCCTGCTTTACTCAGCAAAGTAGTCTGTGCCCCTCGAGTTACTTATAACCCATTTCCTATTCAAAAATTCAAATTTCCTTAAACTTTATTTGGCATCATAATTTAGAGATGTAAAGCATCTCAGAAACCAACCAATCTCTTCATTTTACAGATGAGAAAACTGAGGCTGAGAAAGAAATCACTTGTCCAAGGAAGGTTGTCCAAGGTCATGCAGGTGACCAGTGGTAAATTTGTATTTTAAGCTCAGTTCCTCTGACTCCAAACCCAGTGCTGTTTCCATTATATTATTCATGACTTCTGTCCAGTATTATTTTTTAAAAGGATGAATTCTCTGGTGTCAAATAATATTTAATTAAATGGAAATTTTGGTTAGGGGAGGGGAGGTTGGTAATTTAGGGGCATTGAACACTATGTGGAATAGGGAAAACCTAGATAAGGAGAATATGGAGAAACTTAAGGAAGTGTAGGGAGAGACACTAGGAAATGAACAAGGCACGTATGAAGAAATGTGAGGCAGTGAAAAATTTCCACCTTTGTACCTCAACGCTCCAGTTTCAGTCTAACCCTTGACCTGTTCTTTTCTCCCGCCCCCCCCCCCCAGTAACTGATATTTATTCTTAATTTTAAGTTAGAACAGGCTAATAACTTAAGAAAGCAATTGTTCCACATGTTGATCATCAGCTTCAAGGCATTTTTGAGAAAGATGCACTAAGGACACATGCATGCAGATGTTTTTCTGATCTCTCTCCCACTGATCTTTCAGGCAAATACATTTCTGTATCATTTCCACTTCAATCTTATCATGTCATCTTAAAATGGCAACTAGGGTTCAGTTTAAAATTCAGGTTTTGAATAAAACTTTTAAAATCCACTTACCTTGTTTTAAACATTAGACATAATTCCCTATTTTGCATTTATTTTTTAAAAACCCATATTGCAATTAGTGTGATCATGTGACACATCACAAATGCCAACTAACGTCATCTTCTCTTTTTGGCCAGGACATTCTCTAATCCTTCTTCCCTTGATTCAACTGAGACAGTGTTATGTAAAGTTTTACTGTGTAATTAAAGCAAAGAGTAAAATAAAACCAAAAACTGATATTTTGTGTTAGAAAAGTGCAGTAATGTTTTCTCACTAATCCCTCTTGATCCATCTGAGGTGCTTGACAAAGGAAGTCTTCTACTTCCTTTAGTTTTCCTCCTGGTTGTTATTCTTAGACCTATGGGAGACAGGAGGTAGCAGGGCAAGAGGATATTTATCTACTCTGTGAGAAGGGAGATTGTTCAGAGATCTCTATCCATTCCAGTAAATTTTTCTACCTCTGAAGGTATCCACTGGCAAATTAATTATTCCTTCAGAAACTGTGGCTCAATTTTGGGAATGAACACAGAAGAAAAGAACAAAGAAAAGAGAAAAAACTGGGGAGAAGTCATGCTTTTACAGGGCACAGAAAGAGAAGTGGAAAGTGGTCAAAAGTAGATCACTTGTTGCCAAATTTTGCTAAGGCCTGTCCTTGTACTTTAGTAAAAGGGAAGGACAGTCTTCTTTCTTTCTCTTCTAATACATAGCCCCTGCTCTGGGACCCAGAGCTCAGACTAGCAGTAGTAGGACTATAGTTCAGCTACACTATAAGTTAAAAGTAGACTTTGATGGAATGGCTTGGGAAACAAATCACTATACCACTGTTACTATGAGAAAACGCATTCCAAATAATAGAGGTACAGATGGACTTTTGGAACACAACCCATCCATAAGTCGATCACTCTATGATTAGATGCCCAAGTGATCAAAACAGACAGTACTGACTACAGAAGTTCTGAGAAGTTAGAGAAAACAGTGAAGGGATAAAAAAAAAATAAAAAGGGAAAACTTCCAGGAGGAATTGGGACCTGAGCTCAGTTAATAAAGCTACTTGTTTGGCTGAAGCTTTCTACATAATCATTACAAACCTAATATCCATTATAAACTCTAATGCTATTTGAACTCTAAAGGAACTTTGTCCAGTGTGAATTCTGTGATGCTGGCTGAGTAAAATCTAAGTTCTATTTGAAGTTTTGTCACCTTTTATTACATTATATTTTTCCCCCCAGTGTGAATTCTCTGATGTTCCTGAACCTGTGACCTGTAACTAAAGATTTTCCCACATCTTTTATATTCACAGGAATCCTCTATGGAATGCATGCTCATATGTTTAGTAATGGTTGCAATCCAACGAAAAGTTTTTCCACATTTATTACATACATATGGTCTCTCTCCAGTATGAATTCTCTCATGTCGAATAAGGTTTGATCTATGGCTAAAGGCTTTCCCACATTCATTACATTCATAAGGTTTCTCTCCAGTATGAATCCTTTGGTGTTCAATAATGGATGATTTAAGATTAAAAGACTTTCCACACTCTTTACATTCATAGGGCTTCTCTCCAGTATGAATTCTTTGATGTTCATTAAGGTGTGATTTATAATTGAAGGCTTTTCCACATTTATCACATTCGTAGGGACCCTCTCCAGTATGAACTTTCCTATGCTGGGAAAGTTGTGAGCTCTGATTGAAAGTTTTTCCACATTCATTGCATTCATAAGGTTTTTCTCTTGTGTGAATTCTCATGTGCATAGTAATGATTGAAACTGAACTAAAGGCTTTCCCACATTCATTACATGGATATAGTCTTTCTCCAGTGTGAATTCTTTGATGCTGAAGAAGGTCAGAACTCTGGCTAAAGGCTTTCCCGCATTCATTACATGCAAATGGCTTTTGTCCAGTATAGCTTCTTTGATGTCAAATAAGATTTGAATGCTGGCTGAAGGATCTCCCACATTTGTTACATTCATAAGGTTTCTCTCCACTATGAATTCTCTGATGCTGAATTAGGTTGGAACTCTGGCTGAAGGCTTTTCCACATTCATTACATTCATACAGATCTTCTCTAATATGCATTTTTAGGTGCTGATTGAGTTGTGAAGTTTGACTGAAGGTTTTCCCATATTGATCACATCCATGATGTTTTCCTCCATCATGAATTATGTGGTGTCTAACCAGGAATGAATTATATTTGAAGCTCTTGCCACATATATCACATTTGTGGGGTTTCCTTCCTATGAGATATTTCTGGTATGTAACAAGATCTGAGTTCAGACTGAAATTTCTTTCCCATTTATTATACTCCTGGGCTTGTTTTCCAATTTGGATTTTCTTGTGAGTGAGGATCCCCTGCCCAAAGCATCTCTCCTGGGGATGAGACTTCCTCAGAGTTTGTTTCTCAAAGTTTTCTTTCTGCCTTCCTAATCTGTGCTCATGTTTACAGGTTTTTCCAAACTTAAGTATTTGGGGATCATCCTTTGGTTGTCTGAATATTGCCACCAGTGATCCTACTTCTTCAGAAACTTTGTGCTTTGCAGTCACTTATCTATTATTAGGCCCTTCCTTGGAACCTGAAACAAACAAAATATAGATAACAAGTCTTTCTTGTGATAAAAGAAAGGAAACAGCTAGAAAAGCGTTTAATTTATCCAATTAAACTAAGGGCTCTCCTACAACTGGATCTGAGTACTCATTGCTTCACACATCCACTGCAACTACCCTACTGAATAAATGGGCAGTTAGTCCTTCCCTCAGTCCCTTAAGTACCTAGTGTCATCTTTCAGGATATGCTCTCAGTCACTGACAATGATTACAATTAATTCACAGTGTCAAAATTTGACATTGCCAGGGTATCTGCATGCTCATTCATTCATTCACCCATCACTTAATAAGTGCTTACTGTATACAGAGTATTATTCTAGGAGCTAGGGAGATGCAATATTTAAGCCAGTTGGGAGATAAAGATAAATGCAGATAACTATAATATGTAACATTACATTATAAGTATATGATAAGATGAAAAATGTTCTTTGAGATGTGAGGCAAAAGATCATTACTGGGAAGTATTAATGAAGGCGACAGCATTTCAATTGTGCTTTTTTAAAAGGATGGGCAGAAATTCAACAAGCAAAAAAGAAGAGGGAGAACATGTCAAGCAAAGAGGGGAATATAAGCAAAGGCACAGAGGGAGGAGAATGCAGTGCATGTGTCATGATCAGGTAATAGTTCAGTTTGGCTGGACTGCAAAGTGCATGGAAGGTAATAACATGAGCTACAGCTAAAAAATAGGATGGGGGCTGTGCTGGGGGCCTTGCATGCCAGGCAGAGGAGTTTGAAATGTACTTTGTAGGTGATAGGGACTCAATGAAGGTTTCTGAGAAAAGAAGTGGTATAACTAGATCAATACATAAGATTATTTTGGCAAGACAGACCATTCAGGGGCAGCAAGGTGGTGCAGTGGATAGAGCTCTGGCCTTGGAGTCAGGAGGACCTGAGTTCAAATCCAGCTTCAGACACTTGACACTTACTAGCTGTGTGACCTTGTACAAGTCACTTAATTCTGATTGCCTCACCAAAAAGCCCCCTCCCAAAAAAAAGACCATTCATCCTCTCTTCTGACCCTGTTGAAAGACTGCAGAAGTCTGAAAGATTACCCTGTTCACCTGAAGTACCTCTTCAACCTCCCTAGTCACTCTCTTCATTGTACTCGTAGACTCCCAGATATCTGGGACACAAATCCCTACCCAATCTTCTAATAACACAATGATCATTCTTTTATTTTCCAAGGTAGGCCATCCACAGTCTTGGGGTCTCAGTTTCTGTACTTAAGGCCCTCTGGAACTTAAGGAACATAGAGCAGCTAGAAGCACTGCTGAAGAATTTCTCATTTCTCTGGTGGTGGGGTTAAGGACTCAGGGAATGAGAGGGCATTAGAAGAACTTACGGATATAAACCATGGAAGGGACTCAGAGAATCATAGCTGCTAGGAAGCCAAATAGCTTAAAATGTGTCTGTGTATGTTTGTGAACAAAAGCAAGAAGAACTCTTAAATGGTAGCATGAAAAAACTTTCCTACCTTTAAATGTTCTTTAAAGTTCAGACATGTGCAAAGAAAGAGACTCTATTGCTATCTGGCTCTTAGGAAGAACTCCTATGGCTAGGTTCCTAGATTGGTCCTCTAATCCCAGAGTTCCACTGCATACCATATTTAACCTTGTCTTGCACCTTCACTCTTGGAATCCCAGAGCTCCCAATTCTCTACAGGAATTTTCACTGTGGTCCCGTTAACTGGTGGCCACAGTGCCTCTCTCTGAATACTTCCAGCTATAATGCACTCAAGGAGAAGCTGGATATAAACTGAAAATCAGAAAAGGAAGGGACTCCAGAGGCCATCTAATCCAAACTATGATTGCACAAGAAGCCCTGTAAAACAACCCCAATTCATCTGAGGATCAGACTGTGCAGATGGCACAATCCTGAGGCCTTTCATCATTCTGGGCAGATTCCAGCTTATCAATGCTTCTCCTAAAACGTGGCAACTGGCTTTTTTCTATTTTTTTTTTTTTGGTGTAGTTCCATAGCATAGTCTCCTCATAGTTTGAGACAGTACTAAACCTATAGATATTTGCAACTGCCACTATTTTTATTATATTAGTGCTGCACAGTCACAGACACTGAATAGTTCTCTAATTATTTAGGTTTTCCATTATTTCTGCAAAGACTAATTTGTCATTGTGCCCATTATCCAGGGCTGAACAAACTGTGGTAACCTATAAATGTAATGGGATATCATTGTGTCATGAGGAATGACAAATATGAGGGATTCAGAGAAAAGCAGAAAGACTTATACGTATTTATGAAAAGTAAAAAACAACCAAGAGACCAATACCATCTACAGCATGATTATGATAACGGAAATGAAGACAATAAAAGACAAGAGAATTCAGGTCAGACATAATGGCCAATGGTGGCTCCAGATGCACGCTGAAATACACTCTCTTCCTCTCTATTAATAAATAGTAAACTATAAATGCAAAATGTTTCATGTTTGGTAAGGAACATGTGCTAAAACAGATTTTGTTTTTAAGGGAGGGTACTAAGGGGAGGATTCTTTGGGAAATCATTGTTAAGTAAAAAGAAAAAGCATCATAAAATATTTTCAAAAACCCACACGACCACATGACTTGTATGAAGTGAGGTAGTATGGCTAGAGATGGTCTTGTAATTTCAGGAGGACCTGGGTTCACGTTTGACTCAGATTGACTGAGTGACCTTGAGGGAGTCACTTAATCCCTCAGCTGCCCAGGCATCTTTTTAATGCTCCAATGCTCCAATTCACAGAGTTGGAGGAAGTGCTTCATGAGAAACTTTATGGGCAAAATCTTAAGTCCAAAAAAAAAAAAAAAGACCAGGAATTAAAATAAAATGTTGGGTATTTAGAACTAAACACAAGACTTCAAATGTAGTCTGATCACTGCCTTTCTTTTGGTTAATTAATTTTTGGCTAGGCAATGGGGTTAAGTGACTTGCCCAGGGTCACACAGCTAGTGTTATGTGTCTGAGGCCGGATTTGAACTCAGGTCCTCCTGAATCCTGGGCTGGTGCTCTATCTATTGCGCCAACTAGCTGCCCCAAAATTTTGTTTGTTTGTTTTTTCAGGCAATTGGGGTTAAGTGACTTGCCCAGGGTCACACAGCTAGTAAGTGTCAAGTATTTGGTCTGAGGCCAGATTTGAACTCAGGTCCTCCTGACTTCAGGACCAGTGCTCTATCTACTGCGCCACCCAGCTGCCCCGCTGCCCTCCTTTTGGACATCAGGCCTCCCACCACAGCCTATGATCAAGTTAGTTTATTTTGACTGCCACATAAAACCACTGACCCACACTGAGTTTGCAGTATTAAAACATCCAGATCATTTTCAAAATTGCTACCTGTCCATGCCTTTCCTATCATTTACTTGTGAAGTTAATTTTTTTTTTTTGGAAACCCTGTGTAAAGCTTTTCATTATCTCTATTAAATTTCACCCGTTTAGATTTGGCCCAATGTTTTCACCTGTCAAGATCTTTTTGGATCTTGCCATCTGTATTAGCTTTATATCAGCTTCAAATTTGATAGTATCCAAGTTACTAATAAACAACACAGCCTCAAGGACAGATCCCTGAAGAATTTCACTTAAGATTGCTGTTCAATTTGACATCTCACAATCAATGACTATACCCTGGGGTCAATCATTCAATCAATTCCAAATCTACTTAACTGTGAGCTATAATTATCATTGCATATAACAATATATAATATTAAATATATTACATGTAATAACACAATTTTATACAGTAATAATTACAATAATGGGAGTATGTCTGAGTCTGTGAGTTCACTGGTAGAAGGAACTCTTAGTGAGGAAACTCTCTCTACTTTCATCTCATAACTGCCAGCTAATTGTGTGTCTATTGTCAGAAGAAAGGCTCACCAACAAATTGGTGTCATCACAGAGTGATGAATTTTGGGGTCATGGTAATTGTCAAAGTCCATTTACTAAATTATATAGGTGTTATGGTTTGCATTGATACATGGAGTAAAGACATAATCTTCCTACAGTACAGGTCTGACTGCATTATTACTGTTCTGTGGATTCTCATTGCCCACTGGTTTAAAAAAAAATTCCTCAGCCTGACAAAGTCTTCCACTATCTGCTTCAACATATCTCTTCCGTTTGATTTCATACTAGTATACTCTGCATACACTATGTTCTATTAAATAATTATTATTTAATGAAGTATTTAATATTAACTATGTTGTATTATTAAACGTGGTAATCATTATAGCTCACAGTAGCACCATACTGAGAAAATTATAGATCCTTCCTTAACTTATTGAAGACACCTCAATTATTAAAATCTCCGGAATAAAGCTGCTTTATATCCAAGTTGGCTAAGTTAAAAAGAATAATTTATAATCTGTGAAAGCTGAATGTCCTAGGAATTAGAGGATTATGGAAGATGGGGAAAGGAAACTGAGCTTTCTAAGACTACAGGGCCAGTGGCTGAGGCATTGTCCATCAGAAATCCCAGCTGAAAGCCCCCCCCCCCGCCCCGATAACTTCTTTATTTGCATTCTCACTCACATTCAATCCTTCCTTTCCACTCCTATGGCCAGCACTCTACTTCAATGCTCTTACTACCTCTTACATGGATTATTGTAATAGACTCCTAAAAGGTCTCCCTGATTCTGTTACCTTTCCTTGAAAATCCATCCTGCATATAGTTGGTGAAATGTTCTTCCAGCTATACAATCTACATTATAGTTACTTGTGAATTTGTTCTATCTCCTGAATTAGATGGCAAGCTTCCTCCATGTTGTTTTACCTTTGAATCTCTGGCACCAAGCACAGTACATAGACGGCACGTAATAAATGTCTAATTAAACTGGGGCACACTGGAGACACCCTTCATGCC